GTTTCATATAATGTAACCATGAATACCAGAATGCTACCTATAAAAGATCTAGTTAAATATATGTACAGTTCTGTAAACTAATAAAATTTATTCGTAAACTTAAGTAGTATTTTTATCAATCTGTTTTATAATCCATGTACACCACAAGTGATTGGCTTCTCATATAAAACAAGTTTCAAAACTAGAAATATAACAGAAATTTATTCTGCATGCTTGAAAGATCTACGTGACTTTGAACAATACTGCATGATAAAAGTATCAAAATGGTTTACAAATTATGCAAGTACACCTAGTAGGCTATACTTCTTTAGTTCCAGGTTGCGTTATCGTGAGATGTTATATTAGGACTTTATTTTAGACCTGTATAAGATAGTAATTAATTCTTTATGTTATTATCATCAAGTGGGTAACAAGTCGCAACACCAATAATCAAAACATTTTAGAGGTGGGGAGCCAAAAGTGTCTTTGCCACCCTGGTGCTGAGAACCCTTGCTACGCCACTGTGGTAAAGGCAGACGTCGGTAAGGTTCTTTGAGCCAATCACAATTAAGATCATTTATAAAATGAATTCGTGACGTATTCAGATAATAATTACTGGTAAAAAATCGGTTAGGTTAACAACTTCTGATATACAGAAACACTGGTGTGATTTTGGTAACAGTATGCCCCAGCAATGGCTTTTTATTTCATGTTGCTTTGCAACGTATAACCTAATATTGTTGTTAACAAAACTGTAAAATATTTGTTGAATTCTTAATTTAGGGCCTCCGTTTATTAAAGAGGTTTTTGTTTTTAAACTAAAAACGTTGGTGATATAACAGAAAATAGCTCAATTCAGAAATGATTTAAGTTTAAAATTAAATCTATATTTTCAATTCCATCATAAATTTTATGCACTTGGCTCTAGACAACAAGTCTTCACTTTATTCTTATTATACCAACACTCAATACACTCAAGGTTTCACAGTACTCTTGCATCCCCATCACTAAAATCGTAATGGGCAGACAGTAACCGAACTATTCATAGGTTTTAAGACTCCTATTTCGAGAAATCAAGCCTGACGTGACACACATTGGCTTTTATATATATGTTGGTCAATGAGTCTCTTTAATAGCCAAGCAAACTAAATGGGGAATTTCAACCGACTTGGACACGAAAAACAAAAGTTATGAATATATTTTTCGTTTTATTAAGTTCCCATTATCTACCAGTCTTGTTCTTCTGAAATGCTTTTATGGCTACTACTTAAACATTATATCTATTACGTTGAATGAGCACATATGATAGGGAAGCTAAAGAACACTAAGAATACAAAGGCACTGACCTTCTCACTAACTTATCCTTAGAAATCAACATTTCTACACCAAAAGCTATCACAAACAATATACGTGCTGCTGGTTAATCAACAGGCACTGGATGACTATAAAGCTTGTAATTGTAGACTGTAATTAGTCTCAGAACATGAAATGAGGAGGGGGTCTGGAGGAAAAATAGAAGAACTTCTATGGGCATCTGATGCTCTACTGACGTTCTTAATTGTCGTTTCTGTTCTACACAGTTATATAATATTCACTTCAGTCAATAGACTTCATGACAGTGTTAAATATACGAACGAAAGACAGCGCAAGTAATTGCATTTTAATTGCAAGAGCAAAATCTCGTATCGAAGCAATTATGCGTGTTTCGTAATGAATACTGCGGAAAGACTCAGTTCATTGAGCTTGATGGTGGTGGTTTATTCACCATGCAGAATCGAAGATTATTTCCGTAAAACTTCGTATTTGTCTTCCCTATGTTCACCTCTTCGAATTTCATTTTGATAACAAAATTAAGATGTCGATTAGTAAGAGGTTTAAAAACAGATACAAGAGGAATTAAAAACCTTGTTTAAATATAGAAGGAAAAACAGGCTAGAGAAAAGAAAAAAATCCACACACGTATTAATCTCATTTACTTACCAGTGGCACACAAAAAACGTTCATTCTCTCTTCCGCTACTCACGATCTAGATTGTTGAAGTTTTCCTCACAAAAGTGTATTATTATTATTAATAATACTTTATAAAAACATTTTTAATCACTGGTTTCTCAGTATTAAAAGAATACCAAAAATGTAAAAGTTTAATGTTCATTGTTAACATACAGCTGTGACCAATTTACTATACCTTTTATTTAAAACCGCTAATTATGCTGCTCGCAGAAAGTATTACTGTATGGCTTTTTTTTTTTTTGCAATTCAAATGCAAGGTTATATTTTGTGTAATAAAACTGTAGAGTTATGATACTGAATTCAGAATCGTATAGAAAATGTGATGAACTTTATCGCCCAAAATTTACGTGGGGAATGGGGCAAGAGTAACTTTTCTTTCGCTACGATCTTAAAACCACTGCAGGTTTACTAGCACTACTTTCCACACAACATAAAACGCACTAGTCCACTACGATAAGAGTAAATAAGTTTATTTCTGTTCTCTAGACAACATTTCTATATAATCATAAATTCAGAAACAAAGTTATTCAAAAAAAAATAATAATCAGGTAAGAGTTAAAATGTATATCCGAGTTTCTTGTAGAAAATTAGTCTAGCTCCTTTCCAAGCCCTATCCCCTGGGGTGTCTGGTCTACACAAATCTCTCTCTCCGCTGACATTCACTGCTAAATGCAGAATCTTCATTCTCAGTAGATGGCCAACGACCAAATTCTTCACTGTTTGAGGAAAGAACTCGTTCCTGAAGTTAGCAAGGAGAAAAAGAAACAAACATTAAACACGAAATTTTAAGTTCCATTTTGTTTGTATATCATTGAATCAATTACAAATACCAGGAAATTGCACCTATGAAAATAGATAGGCAAGAGAAGAAAACAAAACCTCCATACAGCTGATGGAATAAGAGTTAAGTTTCTTAGGTCAATTTAAAGCTACTCTTTGAACCTTTTACTTACAACAGGAAGTAATCCTATCACTAGTGGTATGTATCATGTTGAAGTTGCTTTACTGAACTTTTACTGGAGGCAACTAAATATAAAATGCACTCACCAATGAATGAACCTGATCAAATCCTTTATTACCAGAACATACCGAGCCTCTATAAGCACCTTGTTTCCCCATCATATACTCATCATCTCCATCACTTTCACCATCAAGTACCAGCTGCTGCCTAAACATTGGGGTTTTAAAACGAACAGCCAGACTTTGTCCAAAAGTTCTTAATTGTTTCCTAGAGATTGTTTGAAATCAGTATCTACATTAATTAAAGTTAAAATAAAATATTTAGTAACTTATCACAACACAAGACAAGGTTATGATGAGTTTCCTGAAGAAAGAATACTTCTCCCCTATTAACATTTAGGCATTCCCCCAAGCTATATTCAGGTCAAAATTCATGTCTAATTACATCAAATATACCTCTAAAAGTTATTTCAAATAGCTCAAGGCATATGTAGAAACAAACGTTCAGTATAAGTTGAATATTAAAGTTATTCAAGTAATTTTACCCTATTTGCATATCAAGTGGCATCACACTTCCAATATGACTACCACACAGCAACAGGCATGCCTAAAGGTAAATATTTTCATAGAGCTACAATGGGCAGTTGTAGCCATTAATTCTGAAAATATAGACTAGAGGGAGGGCAGCTTGTAAATAACATTGACTGTCTACTCTTCTTCAACAGTAGTAGGATTTGACCAACACCCATTATAGTACACAGTTCTAAATAGAGAATACTTTTTGCTGTAAAAAAATGGTAAATATAGAGCTCCAAATGCTTAGTCCAGCATACAATGCCATTGGTTACTAAACCTATGCTTCATTAACAAAGAACGAATTTATGACTTGAGCTTTACAAGAAGACTGTCATAACAAAATTTAATTTGTTTATAAAAATGCCAATTTTAGTTGTTATGGAAGTTTAAATTATGGAAATCTGCACACTCTTCTCCAGGAAATTAAATAACTGTTCAGGAGCATTATTTCAAGTTTATTATATTCATCCATTACTTCAAACTAGTTGATCATGTTCAACCAACTCAACCTTAATAAATTAAGTTTGTTTACGTTTAATTTAAGAATGGTAGAAACAACTAATATCTTACTTCTGTCTGTGACACAGAGCTATTAGAGCAAGAACAAATACAATAAAGAAGAATCCTAGAACAATTCCTGCTACCCAGCTGTAATCTTTGTTTTCTCCTTCTACAGATAGCATTCTGTGCTCACAACGAGGACCATGAAACAGTACTGGACACCTACAAGGAGTTCAGAATTAAGCACTTTGAGATTTTTGGTTTACAGTTTACATACCAATAGTTCTTTAATTTACTAATCAACTTTATTTCTATCAGTACTCCAGATAAGGGGCATACTGGTGCAATTCTCAATAATGATCATCATAATAAATAAATCAGCCATTTATGGCCTTAACAATATTGAGTAGTTGTTTTACTGCCATAGAAAATGGATGCTTCAATAGTAATAAATGGATGCATTCTTGTTGCTTTCTGCAGCTCTATGCAGTTTACACAGTAGAGCCAAAAAAAAAAATAAGATAAAAAACACCAACCACCAGAACCTTCTTTTGATGTACTTTTGAATGATCCAATTTTGTGAAAAGAAATAAAAGGAAAGGTGGAATGTCATCATTTGTGTTTATTACTACATCTGGCAATTTAATTTGCAAAATTAATTCTGTGCCAAATTTCACCTTTTGAAATGAGATAATTTATAGTTAATTAAATTACTAAATCCATCATAAAGTAACTGAAACTTACTGTTAAGCTTTTCAAACTGGCTTAAGTATTTTAATGAAAAGAAATGGATAAATAATTCAGAGCCAGCAGTTACACTAAGTAATAGGATAGAGATAGCCAATGTTGATTTGAGTATTTGATTATATAAAATTATACAGTTTAATACTAGACTTAGTCCTCGATTAGCAGGTAAAAAAAATAAATAAAATAAATAAAATGATCATGTGGGAATTAGTTAGAACTAAATTTCCATTCAATATGAAACAACTCTAAGCAAAAATTTATATAGTACAGGAATTAGTAACAAGACCACCAGGCCCCTTGATTGGCCTGTCAATGGTTTCCAGATTTAACTCTGTAAGAACAGAACAGTATCATTTAATGAAATGGCATACAATATACCATGATAAGTGAATGGCCCACTGAATCTTTAGTAGATTTTTGTAGCATCACTATCTAAGAGTATGTCACCAACCTGCACTTTGGTTCCTTGTTTATAAGGATACATTCTCCATTATGGAAACAGTAGGAAAGTGTACAGATGTTAAAAATGGGTTGTTCTGGCAAGTAGTTTTCTGTGCTGAATGTAAAACTAGACTCTTCTGTAGTTGAAACTAAATAGATATACAAACTTAAACTGAATGACAGCATATTTTATAATGCTCACAATAATAAAAACAAACAGATTTAGAATTACATAATGAAAGCTAGTTTGTTTTGATTTTTTTCCTGCTATAAATACATTTGATGTTACACCTTTGGTTCCCTGTAAAAAGAACATGTTATTCCTTTACTATTTGATTTATGCTTGTAGTGTATCGTAAATGTAAAAATTGCAAGAAGTTACTTATGCATTGTTTAAAGACATACAAACAGGCTGCACAATTAGAGTCAGTTTGCTCACACATCTTAAAAGTTTCAATGAAGAGTCACACTATTTCAATTATTGATACTTTGTCAGAGAATATGTATTAAAAACGATAAAACATTAAGACATTGCTTGTACTTGATCAAACTAGCACTATATAATCTCCATACCATGGTCTTGAAAGCCAATAACCTCAAAAGTTCAAAACTATTCAATTCAGTTCTTTTAAGCTGTGCATGCTTATCTTTATTGTCAGTATCTTTTTTCCTGTCTCTAATATCTTGTTTGTTGCTTGACAATACATTTTTCTAGTACATCGCTCATATCTGATGCATTATAGGTTAAATGAACAAGATGTATTTAGTCATTCTATTGTGCAAGCAACTTTCTACAAAGTTGTATGGATAACAGCCACTTTCTCAGAAACCCTTGTGTACCATATTAATTACCATCAATGAAACATTTCATATTATAATGTTCTTATTTTTTCTAAAATTTCTCCAAGTTACCAATACATTTCCATCCACATTTTGCTTTATATACTAGTTTTTCCTTAAAATGTCATTGAAGATACTGCCTTTCAATAACTCTGCCTAAGCTACACTACACATCACGATTTTGTGTGAAAGACAATGTTTAGCAATGTGTATTTCATTTATAATGAATTAAAACAATTAGAGAGTTTATATAATTAGATATTTTGATGGGGAACTTGTCAAAATTCTACAGATTTGTTCCATCTTTGAGTTGTCAGCCTTTACTGAAGCAATCTTTCAAATCTTTCCTACATAAGTAGGTCAATGACTTTATATACCCAGGGTACACATTAAGTTTTCCTTCTATGGCTACTAATCTGTTATAATAATTCTTTAAAATTTGCAAAATGAAGACAAACGTATTGGAAACGGATTACTACTTAGATAGTCAAGAACGTTTAGGTTTAATCTATAGTAAAATGATCCATGACTTAGTTCTAGGTAAACAAGATGAAGTGTTGTACAAAGTTTTTGCACTGTGTTTAGACAGAAACCCAGCTATTATTCACATAATAGTATTATGCTACTTCTTACTCCATAACAATAAACAAAAATAATTTAATAAACACTAATGTATTATGTGCCAAAATTAACCTCTATGCAATTCTGTCTTGGTGCTAATTTTAGCAATATTATGTCCTATAGTCATCATTAAATAACACTGAATTAATTGATGTTTGCCAGCATGTCTGCAAAATGAAATTCCACAATGTTTCTTGGACCAGGAATGTAAAATATAAAATTCAACTAGTTTTTCCAGTTTCCCTAACCTATGGAATCTAATGATGTTTGGATATCTTAATAAAATCAAGCCTACTAACAAACAATGCTTAATACACAAACTTATCATTAGTTACTCACTCCTTGAAATGCAAGAACTCGAGTCATTACCCAGTTTAAACCCAGAGGCACAGTGACATGTGTAACCACCTGGAATGATTAGACAGAGGTGTTGGCACAATGACTGATCACATGGATTAGAATCTGAAAAGGAGAGAGAGAGGTAATGCCTTCATATTAAAGATCAATAACCAGATGCAGCACAAACAGTTCTTAAAATTTAACATTTAATCTTACAACACTTCATACAACATCCACAACGTGTAAATTGAATATAAACTTTATGCAAGTAAAGGAAATCCAAAATTCATATGTAGTGACAGAATAATCTGCAACACACATGAATGAATATTTTCTCTGGTCATATCTTTGTTCAAAGTATAGTCACAAAGGTTATCATATAAATCAATTACATATACTAGAAATAAGGTAACTTAAATGTTAGATTTCTGTCCTAACCTTCTGGTTGCCTGACACTATGGATGACAGTCATAGCTTCAGCCTTAACATTGCCTCGATGTACCAAGTATTTTGATTGTCCAGTAAATTTGTTACACCTCAGAATGGAGTCTGAGCCCCAGTCTGTCCAGAAAAGAAAGTCTTCAAACAAAGCTATGCTGAAAGGATAGTGGACACCTTCCTGGACAATTTTGCGTCTAAATAAGTCACATGAAACACATTAAAAATAGTTAATCCTATATCTCTGCAAAAAGCTAATACAGATTATCTATTACCATCATGTTCTTATTACAAAACCATTGATGAAGAATTAAATCAAAAGTTATTCCACAACAGAAGTATGATTAATAGTGCCTGGTCAATTAACCAAATTTAAACAAGAACTATACACAGTAAAGTTAAATAACAAATTGGTGTTCCTTGTTAACACCACCTAATAACACAAATTTTAGCTTAAAAATAATGCACAATTTAATTAACTTCACCTATTTTCTCCATTGAAAGATGAACACTCAATCATATTCATTTTTACATCAGCCCAATAGAGTTGTTTGTGTACATGATCCACAGTTACAGATGATGGCCAATTTACTCTTGTTACAATTACTGAAGATCTTGTTCCATCCATATTTCCTTGGGATATTGCTCCAATACCACTTCCAACTAAAGTGCTCCAGACACTCCAAAACATTATTCTAAAAATGTTAAAGTAAAACATAACTTCTTCCAGGGTTAACATATTCAGGAAAAATACAAACAGTTGTAATTACTATAAAACACACACAGATTTACACTGATTTTGTCTCCATGTAATACATGATTTCTTTGATTTATTGTTTACTATAAGAGCTGTGAAAACTAAGTGAAGAATGAGCACACCGTGAATCTTATCACCTAAAAGAAGAATTTTAATGTTTTAAAGACAGACTTAAGAGAATTTTAAGTAGGACTGGAAAGAAGTTTCCATTTATTACCATTTGACTGTCCCAACTATCCAAGTAATGTCAGAACAAAGTCTTTTAATGAGTGATGAGTAACATGTTATCCAATTACACCAATAGCTCATCCATAATACTATTTGCATAAAAACATGCAACTTACATTTAAACTTTTCATTACTACTGTATCATTATTTCATCAACTATATGGCACAAAAGGGATTGGAATTTTATAACTACAAATAAAATCACTTTACCCATCTGGTGGTGACAGAGTGAAGCTGCTTATATGGAAGACTTTGGCATCAAGCACTTCTGTACAAAACTTTCCTTCACTGGTGCACACTCCAATTTGACTATTGTTGTTCATAAAATACAAGTTTTGACCAATCCAGTCATAACACAGAAGGTATGGCTGATGCAAACCTTTTACAACAACTCTGTACGTGCCAGTGACAGGGGAGAAACTACCAATAACTCCCTACAATATAGGAAATAAATATTAATCATTAACCAGTAGGTAAGGATAGTTACGTGCACAAGTCAAATACTAGCAATACTTTTTTGTTGCCCAACATTTTACCTTTTGGTTTCCTTGAGGATGAGAAACTAATACAAGTCACTATTTAATGAGGCTTCTCACACATCTTCAAGTTTAAGTTTCTTCAGCATTTTAAATTTCTCTTAGAGTATTATTTGAACAAACTAATTAATAATATTACCTTCAAGTCAGAGCAAGGCATCTACTTTGATTGAAACTTACTCAACCCAGCAATAAGTATAGTTAATTTAGTACTTTTATTACCAATAAAGATTAGAATAGATTAAGTCATTAGCGGTGTACCCTTCCTACGTTACAAAAAATACAACTAAGAATATGAAAAACAAACTTGCCTCTTTCCACTCTGACCAATAAATTAATTTGTTTTCCATGTCATAGTCCATACCCCGTAGATCAGCCACATTCTTGTGAAACATGAGATGATTAGATCTGCCTCCTAGGGTCAGTGCTCTAATTTCATTAGGCAAGAGATAGAGTAAACTCGGTGCACCACCTGGTGGAAAGAAAACTTCAATTTAAGTTTATTGCAGTAGTTTGTCCTTTAAAGTATGTGTAAATAGAGTTAAACATTCAATTTTAACTAACCTAAAACTACTGTACATGCGGTATATTGTTCATAATACTTAACTTTTAATGAAAGACCTATTAACTCGTACATATATTTTCAAAATCATAACATCCTGTTGACATAATTATGGGCAAATGACTTAAAAAGACAAAATACTAAAAAAGTTCCATAAAATGGCAATAAACAAACCCTTAAGTTTTACCATTTAAATATATACTTTTAAGATTAATCAAAAATACAGAAGCCATTTTAGAATTAAGTAACACAAACAATGTTTGAACTACTTAACTCACCTATAGCTCTACAGTAGCGATGATCTGAGCTCAGGATATAACCAGGTTTACAAGAGCATTCAAACCCACCCTTAGTGTTTTTACAGGAGTGACTACAGTACCCTCTGATGGTACATTCATCAATATCTAAATGGATAATATTTTTTTGTGGTAAGAACACAATTCTGAACAAAATTTAAAGAACAGTGAAAAGCTACTCTTAGTTAGTTTAATTGGAGTAAAACAAATAAATTTTCCAAGAGTGAAATTCCATAAAACTTTGTATTTTATACTCTGACAAAGTTTTAAAATAACTGACGATAGCTTTACAAGTTAGTGAACAGAGTCAAACAAGTACCTTCACATCGGCGAAAATCTGACATTAGAGTATAACCAGAAAAACAAGAACATACAGCTCCACCTGGTGTATTTTGACAAAGATGTGCACATCCTCCATTGTTAGTATCACAAGATGAACCTGAAAGTTGCATTAATTTGCAAGTAAGCTTCTATCCAAAACTAACTATTAACATTTAAGGCAGTGCTAAGATTAGTGTGATCAGTTGGGTTAGAGTTTCATTTCACATTAATCTTTCCAAAAATTAGCTTGTGTAAAACAGATTAATATAGTTAAATGCAAATTCATTAAAAATTAAAGTTAAGAGTTCACGTAAACTTGAAAATACGAGTAATGCAAGAACACTTACCACAGTGACTGCCCTCATCCGAGTAATCTGAACAATCTGGTTTAAGATCACAAACAAGGTTCTTTGAAATGCACTCTCCAGACTGGCAAGTGAACTCTTCTTGCTTACATGAAAGTTCTAGAAAAACAAAAAATCAAGTTCTTCTTTTAAGCTCAAAGTGATCTATAAAACACAATCTAATTTATTTTTTTTTGCTAAACTACAACAAGCTTTTATGTTAAACATAGAGATGCCAGCCTAGTTTCTCTTAATTGAAGTTTCGTTAATAATAATAATAATAATAATAATAATAATAAGAGAATTAAAAAAATAAAATAAACTTATTTAACAAAGCAATTTTTGTGGGGGGGGGGTGAGAAGAGAGGAAGAAGAAAATATTGCTTTGTATTTTAAGTCAAGATTTTACAAGGTGATAATAAGAATAATAAAAGATATTTAAGTATTATTTATTATTTCTGGATCTTTAAAGACACCTGTAATGGATGGAGTTGTCACATTTTCAGAAGGCTGGTTATAGCATCTTGGAAGAGTTTCATCTTCCTTACTACCACAGTCATCCTGCCCATCACACAACCAAGCTTCTGGAATGCAGTGTTTTTTGGTAGTACAGTAAAATTCCCAGATGTTGCATTCTCTAACATCTATCACAAATGGAAGTATTCAGTTACTTAGATGATGTTACTCTTCATCTAAACTTAGTTGTTTATTTAGATACAACTTTTTACAGAAATATTAAATAGTCTGTAAACTAAATATTTAATAACCACTTACAACTATAAAAATCTGAAGGAAGGACTACATTAAAAAATACAATTAATATACTTGTGTTATGCATTACTTGCTGCAAATTTAAAAGGGTTATCTTGAATTAAAAGTTAAGTACAGTACACATTTTCTGGGTTTCTTTGAAAATCAATGCAGATAGTGTTAAGTTTGTACTTTATGAAAATATTGATGCACTTTTAAATTAAAGTTAGTTCCTTTATAATCGATTTACACGTAATCATTGTAATATAATAGTGTGGACACAAGCCATTACGTAGGCATTTGTTTTGTAGATAGTCAATTCTTTTATTAGTTACTACTTGTGTTCCCATTCTCTGCTAGATCAATTTTAAATATTTACATCATGAGTTTGTCTAGCCTTCCATTCAGAGAAGGATGTTTGTCTTGAGAACTAACCTAATAAAAATAAGTAAGACTTTAGTTGTTTTTTTAATTCCCCTCCAACTTTTGCTTTTACCATTACTTTATTTGCACTTATCAATTTCTTTATTCCATCATGAACACACCACAACCTTAAAATGTCCAGAATATTGGAACACTACTGTTTAAAAGTAGATAACTTTTAAAGTGAACAAGGTCCATCCAATCCTTACTGCAGTTTTCTTCATCTTGCCCATCAGGACAGTCTGTTAGGCTATCACAGACTTCATGAGCATAAATACACTGACCATTATTACACTTCACAAGATCATCAGGACAAATGGTGACATTGTCATAATCTAAATATACAAAGCATTACATAGTCCATTACTATGCTCTTAGGCAATTGGGAACAGTTATATAACATTATCAATATACAAACCCAATTTTATTTTGCATATTCTTACATACAACTTACATCTGTAAAGAAAATTTAAAGATGTACAATCTATGTTAGGGCACCCTGTAGTGTGAAACATTTAATTGTAAATCAATTTTTTGCTATGCTTCAGTAACATTCTCCAAAACATTTTCATAGAGTTTGAGAAGTTAATTTCGTTTGTCTAAAGAATTTAAGAACAATAAAAATACATCTCCACAAACTTATTTTTTTAGTAAATCTTCTTATAGCAAATACCTGTTCTTGCAAAAACAAATGTATCAGTTCAAGTATTAAAGTTAATTTAACAGTTTAGAGACATACAAATTGGAAATAAACCACACAATATCTCAACATGACAAACTTAACAAGTTTACATAGTACTCAAGGCATTCAATCAATTGTACATCTCAAAAACCAAACATATGGAACAACCCCATGCCGTCAAACTTTCTCTACTTGTGGTTTTCTTAGACGAGGTGCTCAGAGTAACAAGATAAGCTTAAGAACTTATATTATGGTTAAGTGTTTAAATCCAAATAACTTTCCCAAGTCACTCTTACAAAAAAAATTTAGTTTGATTTATTATCTGAAACCTTGTAGAAGATTACCTATTTTTGCATCAAATATTTCAGTTAACTGTTCATTACTGTTCTTACAGACTTGTCAGTGTTTGCATTACAGTTTCCTCCCACCCCCCATTTTATAGAAAGAAAGGACATAACAAGCCACCCTGTTTAAAACTTAAGATTTAAAACATACCACAGTTAAACTCATCTGATCCATCCTGGCAGTCGTCTCGTTGATCACAAAGAAGTTTAGTGTCAATACAATGGCTGTTGTTACACTGAAAGTCATTAGACTTGCAAAAGGAGTTTGAAGTAGATAAGATACAAGAAGTTGTCAATGTTTTTAATAAGCTATTAACTACACACATTTTAGAAACGAAAATGCAAGGGAATAAAAATTAAAGTAAGAACTGTTCATTAAGTATCTAAAAAGTGATTTAATTACAGTAAGCATGCAGATTTAAATAGGCCTAACTTATCAAAACTTGATTTCATAGTTTTGTTATATACAAAAACAAACCACAGTTTTGCTCATCTGATCCATCAGAACAATCATGTTCCTCATCGCATCTCCAGGAAGAAGGTAGGCACTGTCCAGTGTTGCATTTAAAGTGGGTTTCACTGCACTTGTTAAACTTGCAAAGTCTCTCGTCTTGTCCAAGGACACAGTCTTCTTTTGCATCACAAAGCCATGCAGAAGGAATACACTGACCCTTTCCACAATTAAACTGGTCAGGTTCACAAGTCCTAACTTTACCTAAGATATAGTTTAAAATAAACAAACGTTTTGAATCAAAGTTCTTCATCGCAGATGGGATAACAAATACAAATTTTATAAAAATAATTTCAGTGAAGAAAAAAAAAAGTTCTCTTAATTTAGTTTTATTAAATTGAAAAAAAAATATATAGGTTACTTACTGCAGTTTCTTTCATCAGATCCATCGCCACAATCATCTACAGAATCACATTTCCAAGATGACTTAATACACAAGCCATTTTCACATCGGAATTTCTCAATTGAGCAGTTCTTCTCTGTCGGGTAAATAGTTATTAAAAATATTGACCTACAAGATATGACTAATGGAGTCATCCATTACCCATTATTAAGAAAATATTCTATTAATAATAAATTAATAAAAAATTTAAGTAACAGTGCAGCATTAATTTTTTGCTCCACATTTCAATACTAGGTAGGTTTTGTACTTCCTTGTAAAAATTTTTGGTCCTTTTGATGCAGTGTCAAAAACAATTACATATGCCATTTTACTCCAGTAGTAAGTTCTTGTGTAGAATTACTAATTATATTGCAGTTTTTGCTACATAGTTGTAAAATCGAATCCTTTAAGTTTCTTCATTGGAACTCAAGCTGTTTTTGCACACTTTTAGGTCCACTATTCCCAGTTATACAATTTGTTTATAAGTGTCCAATATTCAAAACTTATTTTGAATATAGTGGGGAAAAAAACAAACAAAAAAAACTAGTGTACGATCTGCATTTTAAGATAACATACCAAAAAAACATAAAATAGGCCCTATTGCACAACAGTGAAAATGTTAAGCTACCTAGACCAAGCTTGCCTACTTAAATCCAGTTTAATTTTAGAATGAGTTTGATTCATTATTTTAATCCATTAACCTGTTGATAACACTTGCTATCAAAGTTAAAGTAGCACCATCTCAGTGGAAGTTAATGTTAATATTTATCAAAGTTTAAAATACTAAAGTTAATAAAATAAGTACTAAGAAAAAGAAACAAAAAAGCCTCATGTCTTGCAAACCAGGTATTGTAGTATTAAGTTGGAAAGATTTTATAGCCAAAGAAGTTTAAGATGCACAAAACTTAAACTGAAAATTATATATTTAAACACTACTTCATGTAATTCAGTCCTTTGTACAATCATACCTATAAAAACTTACCACAACTGTTTTCATCTGACTGGTCAGAACAGTCAAACCTGCCATCACACTTCCATGCTTCTGGTATACACAGTGTACTATTAGTACACTGAACTTCTCCTTTCCTGCATCCTTCAACTTCTCCTGTAACACAAGATTTAGTTTGAGATAAAGCTCTTAAACAGAATTACTTTTATATCTACATGAATTAAGTTTATTCAAAATCTTGATTTAGAAGAATGTACATAGCACTCGAGTTCCAAGAAATCTAGAGTAAATCATATTACCTTTGAACATAATTGAAAATAATGGTGTGAAATTTTACTATTCTTTCACTTCTCCAATATTTAAAACTATACACATTTACAATATTGAAAAAATTCCTGAATCTACATAGCAACATAAATCACTTTCCTATATTAATTTAGCCATTACTAGAATCATGCTCTTATAATTAAAAACAAACCTTCACATGTTCGTCCATCATTTCCAATAATATACCCATTGGTGCAACCACATGTGTAACTCAACGGATTGGTCAGACATAACTGGTTACATTTCCCATTGTCCTTACCACATCCTGATTTAGTTGTCACTGTTGAGAAAAGTTTATTAAAATACTCCAACTCCCACTAGTAGCATTTGAAACATATAATTTGGAATTTTAAAAATTTAAATCTTGTTAGAAACTGGACAAATTAATAACTGACATTTAAATGGGCCAGACTACATCATTTAAACTTTAGTTTGACAAATAAACCTAGCTGCATTTTTTTTTCTTTTTTTTTGACACAAGACATCTTTACATTAGTAATGTAATTAGTAATAAATCTTGAATTTCACAGGATATATATTACATTGAAACTTTGTAGAACAATAATCTGTATGGATATTCCATTTTATAAAAGAATTCTTTATATTAGTAATACATTTTTCTTCAAAGTACTTTTATTAAAAGTACTTGTGGTATTAATCTCATTAATCATGCATTTCTTTAAATTGTTAAATATTTATTTTTAAACAACCAAAATTACAGCCAGCTTTATCAATCAGGGTAATAAATTGTGTTTTTTAATTTATTTTAATAACATTGAAAGACTGATTTTCCATGACAGCCGACTAGATTAACACTGGCATTTGGGTATTATCTAATAAATGGGATATCCAACACATTTTGGTGCTATTTACCACAGAAATTAACCATTATGACAGTAAGTTCACAACCAGGACTGCTAATGGTATTGCAATACACACATATATACACACACACATCATTTAATGCATATTATTTCATTTCCAGTCAGTTATCTATAGTCAAACGAATAAAGCTTGTGGTAATGGCACCCATAAAGCATTGGGGATACCCCATCTATCAAGCAAAATCCAAAATGCTGTAGTTAAACAAATTGACTATCCTGGAAAATCAAAACAAGGGTGCAGATGAGAGTGCTTAAACCTACAACATATCACCTCCTACTGCCTTTCACTGATAAGGTTCTTAATTGAGTTTAATGCATTTAGTAATATACAAAATAGTCATATTTTGTGTTTAAAATCTATTATAAAATAAGATTACTTTGTTTTCTGAAAGGTTATTCAGAGCTTGATTACATTTTAAATTTTATTAGATCAATAATTAAATCTTATATGAATATCACTAAAATAAAATTTTAACACTTCAAAAAGATTTATCAAAAGCAGTGTCTAAGTTTTCACAAAACTTTTCAAAATCAATCCATTTACTATAATTACCTTTATCTCTAGGTTTATTATGCTTAAAATTTCAGATTTGAATTTTAAATAGTTCTTATACAAATATTTTTACTTAATGTTCCAGTATTTATTTATTTTTTTTAATATTGAAAATCCTGATTTAATCTGTAGAAATAAAAGTTTTTTTGTTTGTTTTTTTTACTTTTAAAATATAATATTCTTTTTCTGTTAATAACTTTGTGTTAAATATTTTTCTAAAATGGTTATTATAACATTATTGAATGAATGTTTATTAAATTGATCCATTTCTATTGTACAAGGTAAATCCTTTTTACTTTGTGATTTATGTAGGTTAATCCTAAGATGTTTTAAATGATTAGATGTTTGCCCTACATATTTAAGACCACATATACCACAAGTTAAAAGTAAATAACATTATCCATTTTACAAAGTTGTATATCTTCTCATACATTTCGAAAATCCATGGTGACCAGACAAGTTAAACATCTAAAACTGTTACAAGTAAGTTTTACTTAAATACGAGTAGCCAGTTCAAACCCAACAAATAGTTGGCCAGGCTATTATAGAAAAAGCAATAAATAATTCATAGTCATGAAGCTATTTATAACACACACAATTGATAGTGATTATATACACTAGATTAATAAATCCAACCCATTGTTCTTACACAAGACTTGGATAATTGTAATATTTAAAGCAACTTGGAACCCTAACCAATTACTTTATTTTCATAAGCCATGACACTAACAGATTAATCCAGGGGTGTTTAATTTCCACAAATAAATGTAAAACCATAATGGCAAAATTTCAAGAACTTTGGTAGTTGGAATAATTGAAAAACACCAAGTTAGATTATTTTAGCAACATTAATATATTAAATGTTCATAGGTAATCAATTATAACTATTCAAATTAATCATCACACTATAGAGAAATACAAGGTGAAAATTATGATATGCATCCCACCAATCAAGACATGTACGTACAGTAGCTGCGGGTATTACAACTTCAATAATCACAAAAACAAGGGAATATTACTGTTAAACGATACGTCAAGCAAGCCCACAGCCAGGTTTATCTGGAAGTGGGGAGTGAATTCCAAGATATGAAACAGCTCCTTTATTATCATTGCAAATAAATATTTAGTAAATTTCCTGATAACTTTGAAAATGATATTTCCACATGTATGCACAATATTACAAAAGCAATTATATAACGAGATGCCAAAGAAATGAAAAATGTTAATAGGCAAGCAGAATTCCTGCAGGAGTGGAGATTCATTTTTACCCTCCAACCCCCATTCCTGGCTACAGTCTTGCTTCAAGACTTTTACTTTTAATATAGCTATACCTTTTGAAGATTGAAGTGAATGAACGTAGTACACTTTCCTCATAGTTGGAGTGAGATTTGGAGAATCTGGTAGCTTTACTGATGAGACCTTTTGTTGAAGACCATTAGAGACCAGGAAGTATAATTCACGCTTGTCTACATCTGTCCAGTACAATCCATTTACTCCCACTGACACTGAGGACAGATGTCCAGCTTCTTCCTTGATAATTTTTTGTCTAGTTACAAGTCATTGAAATATTAAATAAGTATTTTACCACACAATGTAATTTTACTTTTCTTGAAATTTAAAAATTGTTGTTACAAGATCGTATGTCTACAGTAATACTGTATTGCCCATAACAGTCTTGTGTTGTTTTAGTTTTCACTGAACAGTAGTGTTAAGTAACTTGTTTTATTGTAGTCATGTGCAGTTGATGCTGTCATGAACCTTTAGTCTTGTGAAAATAATCTTACCAATTATAAAATATACTGACAAAGTAACTACACCCTTATTTCAGATGTAGAAAATGAGAAGATATTGTACCTTTCATGTTCAAATCCATGCAACTTTTATTGTGGTGGTGAAGGTATTACAAAACAAATTACTTTAAATATAATATCAAATATTAATTATCCTAGATAGAAGTTTCATCAGATATGCTAAAAGATTTTGTCATTTAGGTAAAGAAGCTTCAAGACTTGGATTGATTCATTATCCTAACCACAAGAATAGTGGAAAGAAAAACAAGTTATAAAGCACAGTAACTGCACTCAACATTTATCAACAAGTCTTTACCGGTTAGCCATTACACTTAGACACCGACAGTGTAGTATAAATTCCTAGTAAAGTTAACTTTTTTCCTAAGTACCTTATACATGTGTAATAGCAGATACAACATAAAAAGTTACTTGAACTTGTGTTGATTGTTAAAATAAAGTAATGAATTAGAAGATTTACCTGACAATTCAATAATTTACATGTGTCACGAAACAGACTATAATATATTCTTATACCTGTTATAATCTTAGCTTTATCTTGGGTAATTAAGAAAAGCCAATTTGAATTTTGTTGCATATCACCTTTAGTTTAGTTCACTCAGATGACTAATGAAACTTAAAACATTTAATTGTAGCATATCTTGTATTCTATAAACCAAAACCAGAACTTAAACTTTCAGCCTTACTTATAATTCCCTTCAAGTTCTATAGATGACAAACGTCTGTTCTTGGAATCTCCCCATACCAGACTGTTCTGCCATCTATTTATTGTTAGAGACACTGGTATCCAAAGGTTTTTAAATACAAGTGAATGTCTGTTGTTCCCATCCATGTCAAACATCACTATTTCAGGATGATTCTCCAACAGAGCCACAAACATTAATCTGAGGGGAGAAAAATATTAACAATAGGCATTCATTAAAAAAGCATTGGAAAGTCTTAAGCATTACAAATGAAGGTCATTTTACACATTCAAGCATTTGCTTAATTTTGTCCAACTAAGATAGGTTATAAAAATGTTAAGGTTTAGCTATCAGCTTAAGTTCAGCAAGTCAATTTTCCATGTTAAAGTATCATAAGAGACAGATAAGACTTTTTACAGATTCTTGCTTGGAAGAAGAAAAGAATTGCATCAATGCAATACAAGTATTTATTGTTTACTTAACTGTTTTGTAGTACAATTATTCCAAACTGAACTAAAATGTAAGCAGGCTTGAATGAATTACTTCATTTAGTTTAAAATGCAGATCAAAACTTGTTTCAAAAATGCATTTAGAGGTAAGTGTGAAAATGAGAATGAATCAAATTGAAGAAATTCAGCCAAGATTCAGATGGAAAATTAAAGATGCAGTAACGTATCATATGTTGACTTTGCTTAAACAATTTTATTAGTACTATTATTATGAATATCACTAGTAATAAGTTATGGTATTATAAAGACACACGCACATTTTTAACTAAAAGACTATCAACCTTCACCTTAAAATGCTATGAAGTGCAAAAGGACACTATAGCCAAAAGTTCCATAATTAAACAGTGCAGATCTCCCAAGTTCTTGTACATGCATGAGAAAGTTATGCAAGGTTAAAAATTTCACAAACTAAATATGCTCACCCTCTCTCAGGGTAAAGTACCATATGAATTGGTTTTGAAAGTTCTGACACCAAAATAGCTCTATTCTGACCATTACTGGTAGCAACCTCCAATGTTCCTTTCTCAGCATCAACCCAGTAGATGTTTTGGCCTAACCAATCAAAGTCCAATCCTTCTACCATTTCCAGATGAGTGTCTATTACCAATCTACAAGAGGATAATTAATTAAGGCTTAGTTACACAAAAAGCACCAGATCTATCACTTTAGATATTTTAGTTGAAAGTTACTGATCAACATCCAAGGTAATCAATAGATGGAATATGCTGTATGTGATCTTCATTTAAAAAATTTACTAGTCAAACTGCAAACATTCTCAACACAGCAGAGAAGAATTTTGTGGTACTCCCAAGCAAGTTCAGAAAACGTTTACATTTAAAAATATAGTTAACATATATTGAAAATTTAGATTTGAGTCACACTATTACTCATTTTACAAACAATATCCACTTAGTTCACATACCACATTCAATGCACGAGACAACAATGGCTTAATATCTAGTAAAGTTAGTGTTACAGTAGTTTGTGCCACTTACAATTTTAAGTCTATACAAGTTAATTCTTTACACTTTAGATTTTTCAGATTATTAAAAAATTTATGTAATTGCATTATTTGATATTTTATGATCATGCACACACACAATAATAATAGTACAGGAACCAATGCAACCTTGCCTGGTTTTGAAGTCTGACATGCTAAATGCTAGAATAACCTTCTGAGGGATGTCACTAAGATATACAACTGCATGATGCCAATCATATGTTAAGTCTCCTATGTCCTGAATCTGAGCAATAGGCAACTGTTTAAAGATATCCTGACCAACAGTTTCTTCTCTGAGTTGGAATACCATATCATGCTCAGACACCAAAATAAAATCACTGCTGTTGTCCACTAATAATAATAATAAATAAAAAAAAAAAAAAAAATTTAAACAAAAGTTGCAAATAAATCAAGTTTTTTTCCCCATAATCTGATGTTAGAACTAGAGAAAATTAAATGCTGAAAAGAAATCTGTTTGCAAAATAAATTTATATAACAAAGATCCTACATTACCTCAAGTGAATCTTTCAAAAGTCAGTTTATAAGCTTCTCTACTATAACTTCTCTCCACATTAATATGTAGAACACTTACACAACTAGTACAATTTTTGCCTTTATTCTCCTAGGCTAATTTAAGGTTCAGTTTAATGACCACTTTTTATTAAGATTTCAAATATTTCATGAAAGAAAAAAAAGGAAAGCTTCTAAGTATGTCTTATTCACAAAAAATAAAATAACTTTTGTAAATACTATAGATCACTTTTAGCCATTTTAATTGAAAATGCATGCAATTCTTACCATTCTAAGTTTAAGGAGTATGTAGTCAAAAGTTCTTACTGTTACGTTTCTGGTCGTTTGTTAATTACTCATGAAAATTCTTTCTGAAGAACTTCAGCAATACAAGTCTTTCCTTATATAAAACTAGTTTATTCTTTCTCAATTCAACTTTGCAATACACTTAAATTCCACAGTCTCATTAACTTAAACACGCGCTATAATTTACAACAAACGATTCACGCACTTTACCGCACTTGACTCAATTGTCCGTCTCTATCTCTGCCTGTCTGCAATTCAATTAATTGCCTGGCACACTTATATACAAGAATAGGGAATGCCTAGCAATTACTGGATTATTCGTGATGTTTCCCGATCTTTCTAGAACTCATTACGTGTTACCAGCATCACGTGACTTCCGCTGTCGTAACATTACCATCAGTCAACACCATTTAGGTATCCAAAAGCTAGATGTTTTCTGCCATTTGTTAATGAAGGTTTACATTACAATAACAGTACTTTAAATGCTGAAAGACAATATCAGAATAATTTGATGTTCTTTACTAAACTTCTGTACTGCATTTACCTGTCCAGTATATCAAGTTACTTCATAAGAAATATAAAATCCTTTTAAACTAGTCTGCATTATGCACAAACACAATATTAATAATAATAATAATAATAATAATAATCTGCTGTTAGCACTATCAGTTATTGCAGTCAAAATACAATAAAGTATAAGTTCTTGTTTAAAAAGTATAAAAATTTTAGAGCATGAAAAAGGTCAGTCGAATAACAATGTCATATCATTTAAATATAGACACCGCAGTAACTTCTAGACAAACTTGTATGCATCACATCCTTACAGCAACAAAAAAGTAGCAGTAGGATCACAATGTATGCTGTTTCAAGTCTTAGGAGATACAGTTTAGGGAACTAACATTTGATGCAGTAGAAGAAAAATGTTAGACATCATTGGCCAAACAAGATTTTTTTTTTTTTTGTCAACGTTAGTTAATACTGACTGGAATGATGCATATAATTATAAACAAATAAATGAAGTTACAGCAAATCCCAGAGGATCAAGTTTATTCATTTAGTGTTTTACCTCTCAAGCTACTGATGAAGGCATACATACTTCCTATAACAAGCACAATACCTACTTAAGAACTACTTTATTCTAGAAATTTATTATGTAACTTAAGAATAAGGGACCGTTTTGTCCACCTAAACCACCCATTCACTGAACTAAATGTTAAAATAAAAACACTCAGAGCCAGCCCTCATTCAAATATTTATTAAACCTTTCCTTTAAATTAACTTCATCCACTACATCAGACAACCCATTTCAAAGATCATCCACCCCATTTGGAAAAAGCTATCCTACCCTGCCAACATTTATCTTTTTGCTGCCTAATCATACCATTCTCACCATTAAGCATGAAATTGTGATTAAATTGACACTGTCACTTACCTAAACAATCTTAAACACGTCAATCAATCCTCTCCAACTCTTCATTTTAAGAAAAACACAAGTTTCAATAATTTTAACCTCTTCTCATATGACCACATTTAAATCCCAGTCATCACCCTAGTAGCCCTCCTCCAAACCATTTCCAACAATTCTAACGTCCTTCCTAAGGTAAGGCACCAAGAATGGACACAAAATTCCAAATGTGGCCTAACCAATGACCTTTATAATGAAATACAAATGTAAAGAAGTTAATTAAGTATTTCTCTGGAGACAACCTAAATACTATTTGCCCTTCCACCAGAAACGGTACACTGCCCAAATAAATTATAACAAATAGTAAGGATACCTTAGGCTAATCTTGGCACTTAGTTGTTTCATTGGTAGCATTGGGCTGAAGCAATTAGCCCAACATTCAATAAAGGCAACTCGTAGTACTTCCACTGTTGGACCAACATTGAACCACACACACAATAATTATTAAATATAAAATATTACACATTTTAGTCAATTATGCATTGAATAATTTATGTATTTAGAAGACTTTCAAATGCTCTAGTTTTTTTTTTTTTTTTTTTTTTTTAAAAAACATTGCTGCTATATTGTTACTAAACCACATGGGAACATCACAAAATGTTGACTACCAAAAGTACAATAATTAAGTATTTATTAAATTCTAAACTAGAAGCTGCATTTAGCAAGTTTTTCATACACTACAAGTATCTTGTCATGGCTATGTGCATGCATAACAAAGCATCACGTAGCAATATTATCTCAAGGTGGATAATGACAGTCAATGCAGTACACTGCTTTGATTGTTCTGAAATTTCACATTTTCTAGCTCTCTTCAAAATGCTTATATTCATGCAAGGTTAGTTAAGAAGTTTTGAAAATAAAACATACTATTTTCAGACAGTAAGTTTCCTGTTAAAAGGTCAAATTTATGGCCATTAAATTTATTACAGGTAGATTTTTTTGTATGGATTTGCCAACATTGCTTCATATTGTTACGTCTCCGTTTGTTAATTAATTTCCCGTAACTTCGTTCCGACGAAACTTTAGCGACACAAGTCCTTACTTAATAAAACTGGTTTATTCTTTCCGAATATAACTTTACGATACACTTAATTTCAACAATTGCGCTAAAACAAATGCTATAACAACGAACGTGCTCAATAATACTCTGACTGCAGATCAATTACTTACTGTCTACTCACACATTGTTCCGTCACGTTGTCACCCTATATCTAGTAATCTCCCAACTATTCCCAAAGGTTCGAGAGGTGGCGTGACACTAGTCACGTGACCTCTCTGACGCAACAATATGTTTAGTACTAAACATATGCATACATGTACAAGTCATAACAGCCATAGTTTGATTGAAGTTTAGGAAGTTAAGACAGGTTTTGAACTTCTGGAAAACTAAAAATATGAAATTGTAGTATATTGAAATATAGATTATAGAAGAACATTCTATGAAGCAATAGTGGTCAGTTAAAGATAGCAGTTTCAAGAGTGATTCTGTGCTGGTTATTGCAATACTTTGTACAAGTGTTTAAGTTGTGTAGAACAGTTACGGTGGCGGAAAAGTTAGGCCTACAAATTGACAGTGTTAGAGCTTGTAATAGGATTATAATTATAATAAGTTTGTTTAAGTTAGCTGAACATTGAATTATTTTTACCTACAACTTTGAAAGAACTCAAAAAAAACTTAAGAAAATCTTAAGAATATATTAATTAACTAATCTCATTTACCTTAATAAATCTCAATTGTGATACTTCAGTGCCCTGGTAATTTAAGTAAGGCCTTATTCATATCTCAGAAAATTTATTCCATCACTTAAGTTTGTCTCGCACATTTATTTCACATGTTAATACAATAAGTCTGTATTAAAGAGAAAAAGATTTAAGATGAAAATCTATCTTAAATTAAGCATATCTTTATATAATATGATTAACAATACAACTCGCGATACAATACAAATCTGATAAGGTATCATAAATCACCATGCCCCTTGTTACAATACTGGAGATTCATATGCAAGTGACTGTTTACTATGTCATGTCCATTAATGCAGTGACCAATAGGTCTGCAACTAATATACATAAACTGACTTTAACATGTAGGTTATGGATGTTAACCAATTAAATTAAATTTATTGGGATGATGCAGCTTTCAAATAGTATTTGTTGTCATTTGATTACTGCATTTCCCCCCCCCCCCCCTCCTCTTATATTGGAATTCCACAAGCTGCAAAAAGAAACATCCATTCAAGGGAGACCATCATAGATAAAGTGGAAAAGGTCAACAACAACTACAGTGCAAGCTAGGTGCCGAACATTCCATTTAGGAGGTTGTAGAGGTTATGCAAGTGCAATATACAAACTGTACAATGGTCAAAAGCATATTCATTCTTAACAAACATCATCCAGTTGTCAGTGTCAGAATGACTTCAGTATTTGAGCTATATTAAAGTTCTTGGACTAAAGATGAGTCTTATTTTGCATAGAATAAACTTATTGACTGAAGGCTCATCATATTGTGTGAATAGACATTTTGTAAATTCTGAATTAAAGTCATTATCTTTCCAATATAAGGTTAAGTCCAATGAATCACATACATATGTGCCAGGAGCTTCGTAATAAAGGAAATGATTACATGCTTGTTATACTCCAATTTTTCAGTAATGTAGAACTTATTATTGAAACTTAAGGTCCTGATGTAGTTATAAAACCAAAACCTACAGTCAATAAAACTAAAAGCTAGGAGTGCATGGATATATCACATGTTCTAAAAGTGTTGAACTTCATTTCTTAAGTTTCTATAGACAAATTTTAGTTATAAAGTAAACTATAAAAGCAACCATATCCCACACAGAAAAACTTCTATAGCAATGTAATGACTGATTATGTATGTATGTATGTATGTATGTATGTAAAGCAATTTTGAAATCATCCTCTGAACAACTTACTTTGACAAATATTTCCATCAACTTGTAATAAAAAGCCTGAAGGGCACACACAACGATATTGGTGTCTTGGTCCAAGTACACATAAATGACTACATGCTCCAGGCCAACATGGATTGGATACTGAAAATAATTTATAAATTGAAATTGTAAAAACAAATTAAAGCTTAAGCTTACAATAATTGTCAGTAACCCAACCGGGTAGAGATACACATACCACCAGTATTCTACTGAATCCTTTTAAGAATTAAATAAATTCATAACCAGAAGCAACTGATTGTTATTTAGACATGAATAATAAATTTCTAAATGTATTTCAAACTCCTGAACTATTATTGACTGGCTAGCCATTACTAAACAAAATAAATTTAACACTACAACATTATACATATAGCAAACTATCTCATGATTTCCCTCTTATATGGTGGCTTACAAATCAAAATTACATGCCACTGAGCTCTAGTAGTAGTAAGGAAAAAAGAATATTATATAGAAGTCAATAAAAATGGTTTAATATACTCTTAGCTTTGCTGAATATCTCATAAATTAGTAATAAATATTTTCACAACTGACGGCAGGGACCTGTCTGCTATTAATATGAAGTTATTCAAATTAGAGTACTGTTTGTTCATTTGCAAATAAAATTAGATCTCAGGGGTTAAGTTTAATGTTCAAAACTTTCCAATTACCAATGTCTCTCATAACAGGATGGTAAATGTGTATTCCCATAAGATGGTTATGGTGTTCACGAAATATTAGCTGTTGCTTCTTCCCTGTAAACTTATTACAAGACTCCAAGGAAAAGGTGATCCAATCACTCCAGTAAACCCAATCTTCAAACACAGCCAGAGAGAATGGATGAAAAATATCATCTCGGAAAATCACCTATAATAATGATAATAATACTTCAAAAAAAAAAAAAAAAGTTAAAAAACAAACTCACTTTGGGCTTTTGTACAATTATTTTACTGGGTTATAAAAAAAACTCCAAAATTTAAAGATGCACTTACTTTTCTCTCCTTTCCGTCTAATGTCAAATACTCGATCTTGTTTAATTTTGCATCAGCCCAGTAGAGACGATATAGAGCATAATCTATAGCTAGCCCATTAGGCCAGATCAGCTCTGTATCCACAAGTACAATTCTTTCAGAACCATCCATGTTACTTTGAGTAATTACTGGTGTTTTCCCCCAGTCTGCCCAATACATAACACTGAAAAATGTATTAAAACATTTCACTTCTACAATAGAATATTGTGCTTGTTATTACATATCTAAAGTTAATAAATATTTCAGATAAGAACTTATGGTTAAAACAAAATGTAAACCACACTGCCATATCCAATGAGACCTTTTGCCAAATACCAGGGCTCATCAGGTGAATTGAGAGATAGATTAGTGGGAGAGATACTAATTATATCATTGCTTAAACAATAACACTTTCCACTTAAACTAGATTAAGCAAGTTACCCCCCCCCCTTTTATTGTTTTTTTAACTTAATGTTATTTAAGGCATTACATGAGTATTGAGGTATTTGTTAGAAAACAAAAAAATTAAGACTAATCTATTATTATTTTTACTTAATTAATATTCAGAAGCTGACAATGTTTAGCAATGTTTGAACTACAAGAACACATTTTTTGTTCCCATTACTGACAACACTAATTACTGCACAAGATACCTTCAGTAAACTTAACTTTAATGATTATGTCTATCAGTTTGTTTTGATCTTGTCTACCTACCCTCTGGCAGGATTCAAAACTAGTGAACGAGGTTTGTCCAAATTTTCTGAAATTAGCACATGACATGCTGAACCATCAATTTTGCATACAATTATTTTCTTCAGATCTGTATCCGTGATATAGAGATTTCTTGCTAGCCAGTCAAAAGCAACACTTTCTGGAGCAACCAGCCCTGCAATTAAACATTATGGAAATAACAGCACAATACAGAAAGCCAAAATACCAGGAGACATTCAGTCAAAAACACTGAAGATGGGACATGATATTATTCTCAATATATGATATACTATAAATGAGTACCAGTACCACCAGTAATGACAGCCCAGTACAGGTACTGGATGAAGTGTACCACCAGTACTGAGTGAAAACCCTGTTACAAACCAAACTTTACTTGTAGAATGCATATTTAAGTAACAGAACTTAAGATCCAGATTTGTTCACAATCTATGGTGTGGTTATTTTAGAGCAAAACCACATTGGGCTATCTGCTGTATCCACTGTAGGGAATTTAACCACAGATTTTGGCATTGTAAATCTGTAGTCTTACTGCTGTCCAAGTGGACCACAAACTATGGTAACAATTTGCATATCCAATTACCTTGACAACCCTTTTGGTCATACAGGTTAAGATCCCAAACCATTTTGTTACAATTCAGTTGGTATGGTAATTTAGAAGTGCAGATGACATGCATTTTTTGGGTAGATTACAAACATTCCACAATTATAAAGTCAGATGAGGTATGAGATTACCATTTCAAAAAAATGGATCATTTTAGTGTTAAATTGTTTAAATAAATTGAAAAGTATGACTATCATGGCAAGGGTAGAGGCTACTATGTGACTAGCTACCACTTCCACACTGGAGGTATAAATAATGTTACAGCTTGTTAACAGAATTACCCTAGAACAAAATAGTCTATTGTAGTTAAAGTTAATCTGTCTTCGAATTACAAACATGGTAATTAGCAAAGACTTAAGTACATAAAACAAAAGTGTTCACAAACCTTCACAAATCCAAATGGAAACCAACAATATGGTCACCACAGATGATGAAGGCTGCTCTCTACATTGTACCTTTTGTTTATTTAATTGAAACAAGTCAGCAGATGTTCATAAAATATATTTACTTATTTATTTTAGGTCATGAAAATTTAATATTTTAGAAATACATCTACAAAAATACTCACAGATTTAGTAGTTCTTAATGGTAGTATACAACTTAAGTTTAAAATCAAAGTATGTTTTAGCTAGTGATTTAAATGGTGGTATATGAAGTTGAAGGTCAAAGTTTGTAACTAAGTACTAAGTTTGTGTGTGCATGTGCACTTTTATTTATTTATTTTTTTTTTTGACATGCATACACAAAGATGAGTTTACACAATTTTACTAACTTACATATAATTAAATGCAACCATTTCACAATTTAGAGCATCAGATTCCACGAGTCATGAAGTGATACCATCCTTCACACTCACAGTGACAACCTGAAAGTGTTCCACACTCAGCCATTTTAATGACTGTTACAAAAACAGTTTCATTCAAATAGTGATCAACATTATTCAATCTTTACCAATGAAATAAAAATTAACGTTTTATCCAAGTAAAAAGAAGATTAAAGTTAATTCTCACTTTGTCATCAAAAATACTAAACCTAGAGACCACAGTCAATAAACTTACCATTTGTTATGATAGGACGAAAATCTGTGCCATCCAATAGACAAGAATAAATTCCTGTAGCATCAATGTTAATGTCAATCCAATAAACACGTCCTTCTACAGGATCAAAATCAACTGCAATAGCTCTTGACAAGGAGTTGTATATAGGGAAAAAATGCTGCGATCTCAGCCACAAGCCTCTGATGCTTCGACTGTTTGAAAAGATGAGTAGTGGTTCCTGCCCTGCATAGAGTAATTTTTTTTTTTTTTTTTTTTACACTATTTCATACCCAAATTTAAAAGTCAGTGTTCAATGTGGACATTAGAGTGAAAAACAATTTAAAACACTATGCGCTACTCCATAATACAGGAGTTACTATTAAGATTAATGACATGAATTTTGTAATACTGATGAAAGCTTACCTTCTACTTCACATGAATTATTTGACACAAGATAACCTTTCTGACATGTACAGGTGTAACTACCAGCAGAGTTCTCACAATACTGACTGCACATTCTGTGATCAGAGTCTTCACATTCATTTACATCTACAAACAAAGTAATTTGATGGCAAAGGAAATGTTAATCACATATAACCAAGAAGAAAAGAAAAGCACATACAATTCATTGTTCATTGAAATGAACAGTTCAATGCAAGATGTTCTGCAACAATGTCATGCCCAATAAATAAAATAAATGCAATAAAATAAATGTTTTGTTAGGTGTTCTCTCCTTGTTCTCTATGCATTACTTTTGAGATCTTGTCCTATTCCCTTCACAAACACTTCCCAAATGAAATTTAAAAAACAAGGTTCAGCCAAGTTTAAGAACTTAGCATACAGACAATACAAATTGCTCAAAACATTTAAAGAATTAAATATTATTACTACTAATAGAAAAACTACCACCATTAAATACTCTCCCCCTTCAATTCACTAAGTAAAACATTATTATTATTATGACATGTGATCTGAAATGCAAGTGATTAATTTTTACCTTCACAATTAATTCTGTCATTTTTCAGCTGGTATCCTTGGGGACAAATGCACTCAAATCCTGTTGGCATTTTAAGGCAATCATTGGAACAATTGGAATTGTGGCATTCATTGACATCTATTTAAGAATAATCATGCCAAATAATTCAAAAACTATGAACAAGTACCATGCAACAAATTCTGTACTTAAAAGTAAAAACTGTTCATGAAACAGGTATCAAAAGTGAGGACATTATTATTCTGGTTCCTCACCCTAATAACAACTAAGTAAATAACCTTGTAGACACACCTTTTTTTCATTACAGAGTTAATGATCTGAAAAATAAACAGAACAAGTTTTGAGCTGCAACTAATGCCATTATACTGTTTTAGGTCAAACTTAAGCCTACCATTTATTTATTTATTTTTAATTAAAAGAATTCTATACAGAAACTAAAACCAATAGTTGGTTTTATACATCTGAATATGAAAGTATGGGGTGGAGGTGAAGACCGCAATTAGACAATGGAAAATATTTTAATCAGCAAAAGTTTTCCCTCATACTTGCATTTGTCCAATGTATTATCAATTCTAAAGATTGTAAACAGTTATCCTGGCACATTAGAATATAAAGTGTAACTGTTACCATAGTTGACATCATAGTTTGCAATTATAATCCCAGCAAACAGTTAGATTTGAAGTATAAAAATAAAATAAAAAGTTACTTTCTACATAAAGGGCAATAGAGATAAATCTTTTAACTAACAGACAGAATGTTACACAATATCTATAGCACATGATACATTTTGGGAACGTTCACAGTAGAGTTCAACATGTTGTACATCCCATTATTACAAATAGATCTATTAGTCAACATTTACCACAGTGCCCTCCTTCATCTTCTCCATCAAGACAGTCTTTCTTGTTATCACAAACTTGTTTCAGTTCTATACAACTTCCATGTTTACACAGAAACTTTCCATGTTCTTTAGTACACAGACTGACTGCTAGCATTGTATTATCTGTTGACAAAGATAAAATTTAACATTCATAAGGTCTGCCCTTTTATTTTATATTTATTTGTAAATAAACAACAATTTTCTATTTGTAAAGATTAAAAGGTTCACATTTCTTATGTTCAGGAGAATAATCCTATTTATGGTCATTATCCTACTCATTTTAGATTCTTATACATACAACCCTACTGCAGGTATAATAATGTGATTCAAGCTTCATTATGTACAACAATGCATAATAAAGTTTTGATAGCATGAAAAATAAAAACTTAAATCCTTGGGATATTTACCAATTGCGTTTAAAGTTTGAATTAAATTACAGTTCTTTAAAATTAAAAACTGAAGGGTTATGTTTTTGTTTGGAAAAGAGGAGAGTGAGGGGTCCACTTTGTCCTCTGTTTCTCAATTCTTTAAGATTTAAGAATAAATATTTGTAGTATATAATATTAAAAAGGCATTTTCTAAGACTTCCCAAGCATAATGAAATGGGTACCTTTCTTCATATAAATTATTCTTCTACTCAACTGTTGTCAAAGTATCGAATCTTGTGTATAAAAGCAAATGAGGTATATACTTATAAGCATTGTGATAAATCATTTACGAAATGCAGGTTTTTTTCTATTTCAAAATCATAAAATTCTATTAATGGAGTAGTAAATGTATACATTCTATAATGATTAAAATCACTAATTAATTGTAATGCAATTACTTTAATGAAAGGTAATACTTTTAAACAGCAACAATATAAAATCAAAGTTAACTATCAAACTTACTACAGTTTTCTTCATCAGATCCATCCTTACAATCTTCAGTGCCATCACAATGCCACCGCTTAGGAATGCACTGATGGTTTTTACACTGGTAACCATTACAGTTTGAAACATTTTCTGTTAAAGCAAAAGGCATGAAAAACTAACAACTAAAGTAAATATTAATTTCACATAAAGACTGGGTATACAAACATGCACCAAGTTTATGCTAGAGAAATTCAACATTGACAAATTCAAATAACGAACCAAAGCACCAACTTCTCTTTATATATCATCAGTTTAGGGGGCAGCCATATTACCATCATTAATATCAATCATTAACCATTAACTAATATACTACTACTTATTACATGAAAATCCAAGTTTGCGATATGCAAAACTCTTAAATGACAAATATTAGTGTCCTTGTATTTGTCATTTATGATTTAAATATTAAATCTGTTCTTGGGCTAATAAGGTAATTGAAATTAGGAAAGTACGATTTTTGTCATTCTTATTGCCTGGTGCTTCTACGTTATATTTAAACTAAGAGTTCTGATTTTGCATTCAAAGTATATAATGGTAGTGGTGCATGTGAAAGAAAATTTTGCAAACATTCTTATAATCTAAAGGTAACAGGCATTTCCTTCATATTAAACTATATTACTCTATCCATTGTTCTAAGCTACTGTTATTAATTCTTACTCTTAGACGCGATTGAGCTCCAGACTGTATATTGTTATGTCTCCGTTTGTTAATTGATTTTCCGTAAATTCGTTCCGACGAAACTTTAGCGACACAAGTCCTTTCTTAAATAAAACTGGTTTATTCTTTCTGAATATAACTTTGCGATACACTTAATTTCAACAGTCGCGCTATAATTCTCAACGTACGTGTCACGTGCTCGACCTCAACAATACTCCGTTCAATTACTCATTACCTCCCCGTCGCTTCGTGTGTGTGTGTGTGTGTGTGTGTGTGTGTGTGTGTGTGTATATATAAACACACACACACACACACACACACACACACGAGACTACACTATATCTAGAAAGATCACGAGATTTAAGGAAAAGACGTGAGAGTTCGAGAATGACGTGACCTCGATGTCGTAACAATATGAAAGTGACACTACGCTAACTAATAATTCCTCAGTGGCAAACACCTAAAACTTCAAAAGCAGCGTTCGATAATTTTTTTTTTTTTTAATATAGTCTTTCTGTAATTTCAATAGAAAAAAAAATTCTAACTCCAATTTCGCATTCATTTGAAGGTCTATTACTTTGAATTAATTAATAGTTTACGGACAAAACTGAAATTGGCCGGTAACATTTGAAACTACAAACTTTCTACAGCATTAAGTGATAATTCTATGAAAACTAAACAACTGAAACAATTTATCGCCTCCTGTTTTAAACAGGATTATCTAACAAAACGCCCTCTAGACATTTATCATTCAGCTAGTGCAAACAAATTGAAACCTTCCCTTACCACAGTTTTGTTCATCTGTGCCATCCAAACAGTCGTCTTCCCCATCACACTGCCATACCACAGAAATGCATTCCAGCGTTTTTAAACAAAGAATTTCTGTGTCTGTACACACCCTCTCGTCTTTCGACGATAAAACTGGAATAATTATCAATACATAAATGATTAGCAGTTGTTTACTTAAGCTTTTTTTATACATTATAATAATAGCTTGAATGTATTGTTTTTGCTATTTGGCCAATGTACATGTGAGGGGGGGGGGATTCTTGCTGCATTTAGCTATGGTATAAATACAATCAATGATGCTTTGCCAACTTAACTGAAAAATAATGTTATAATATATATATAAACTTACTGCCCTGATAAGTGTATCTGAAGGTTACCGAAGTGACGTCAAGTGCTAATGTTAAGAACTAACGATACTACTTCAATGTGAAATTACTCTTGCAGCCATTTAGTTTACACACAACCAGTAATGTCAGTGTGGAACATTTAAATTAGAGAAGCACATTGGTCAAAGTGTTTTAACTCCAGTACCACGCTTATTGCATCTGCTCGATTTACAGGGCTAAGGTTGATATATTACTTTTAAGCCTTTTTTTTTGGGGGGGGGGGGAATACTACAAGAGTGCAAAACACAATCCACCCAAAATTGAATACTTTGATTACAACTTTCACAACTTCTACAGATTCCACGTAACTAACGACAGGCATAACGTCAACAACGTATCGAGAAATATTTTACCTATTATTAAATAATAACTATTACATCTTAATTACCTGACGCGGAAATTAACATCGCCTCTGGTCTCACCTAACAAGTTTTATATTGTTCAAGTAATTTCTCAATTCTAAATCCTACTATTAAACTTTAAGGTATAATTTCGCAAGACCAAACACTATGCGAACAGACGAACAAATTTTCGCGAAACCAAACTTTTAAATGCATGTGTTAATACTTATTCGGTCGAACTGTCCGGTCTGCTGGACAAATACTGTTCTTTTCCAACATGGCAACTCGGATATTATAGATTCTCTAGATTAAAAATAACAATAATACTACTCTAATTTCCCAACATAGTTTCAAATGAAGTGTATAATTATACGTTAACTCACCACAATCCAATTCATCTTGTCCGTTTCCACAATCGTTCTCACCATCACAAACCCAGAAGTTCGCTATACATCGTCCATTTCCACATTTGAACCACGTATTTGGACAGTCGTCTTCTAGTACAACGGAAATTTTAGAAGGAACAAACAAGCTACTTAGTACGGTCTTTTTTCATGTTATTTTCAGCATTATATGCAACAGTGAAATTTCATTCAGTCCCAGGATATACCCCTCGAATTTATTTAGTACAACGAATTGAAATGTTAGTACCAGAACCTGCATTATTATTTCTTTTTGTGAGCTATTTGTTGACGGCTTGACGACTGCTACATTCGAACGATTTCGCAAACGAACAAGCGTCGATAGTTACCATTTCGGAACATTTTTAACATAGTGACTGGGCGACATTGAAGAAAGTTTGTCACCTAGTAAATGAAATTTTAAACAACTGAACGACTTTTTTTTTTTTTGAAAAATCACAACTTTTTCTTTACTGTATAATGGATTTCATACATGTTCACATTAAACTTGGTTCTTTCGTATAGCGGCAATATCACATTATATTTCGAAAAAGTTTCAAATTGAGGCTTGGAATACAACAACATTGTTGAAAAATGATTACTAGTACCCTTAAATGATAGCTCAGTTATTTAAAATATTACCTGAATACGGAATATAATAATTATCATTTTTGTGACGGATTATTCACAACGTCCCGAACTCTACCTACTACTAGTATTAGAGCTTAAACATTTAATAGGCATTGATAAACAACGTTTAAAAATATATTCACATTTAATATTACAAATAAGCATATTTGATTATTACATCAATCGGAATCATTCCAAAATATAGCAAAGGTATTAACATTAACGTCAAGTTCGGATAGGCTCAAGATCCCAACTTGTACCATGTCATGCAAGATAAGATATCTCACTTAGAGAAATTGGAACAATCACTACTAAATTTTTAGACACACAAGCTTTTCCAAATTCTAGTTTGTTACGATGCGTGCACGAATTTCCTACTTTTGAGAAATCCATCTCTAAACCTAATATTTTTAAACATTATATTGCAAGATAGGTTTCTAAATACTCAATTACTATTTAGATGACCTATACGCCAAGCTAAAGAACAGGTTATATAGAATTAAAAGCCAGAAGAACTGACACTACATAACAAATAAGTAGTAATTGACGACTTCATACTATTACAATACATAATTTCATACACTATAAAAACAACCAATACTCATAGGCTGTAGATTGAATCATATTTGATTTAAAGCCATTTCCCTAAATTCAAACAAATTACTAAATTCTAGTTTGTTTAGTTTTTCTCCCCTCCAAAAAAAGTTTCAGGACAATAAATAAAACTTACCAACGGATAAGACATCAGATGCCCCTAAAATAAAAACCATAATACACCAAACTCTCAACATTATGGTAAAAGAATCAATTAATACAAAAAAACTAATACTGTCATAATTTGTAAATTATATTAATTACACTAACAAAAACAATAGGGACAGACTATCCTTCACTACTGTTCCATCGCTGCTTGCTTTATAGTTTTCAACTACCTACGAGGTGTCGCTTATTAACAGACAGTAGAAATGGCAAAACGTGGAGGTAAGTAAAGGACAGTGTTACAAATATATTCTTTGCATAAATTAGTGTAAATTGAATCAATTAATGTTTTGAAACTGCAAATAATACGTCAAAGGTACTTAATTTGTTGTGTTAAATACACTTTGTAGGGTAATGAAAGAAATAATGGTAAAACTATATCGAACCTCATGTACTCAATACTAATATTCAGCTCGTCTTTGTTTTCTCAGCACATCCTTTCCGTATGAATGGGTGATCCCGTCTTTAGAAGAAACTAAACATATGTAGAGGGAGCCACAAATATACCCTTATTTATATCAACTTCGACAAGTTCTCATAAAATTTATACCTTTCATTTCAGCATGAAATTATAATGATTTTTTTTTTATTTTGTGGGTATATTAATTCTTTGGTTCAGGAAGTAGTTAGCCACCTGTTGGTCAATTATTTCTTAACGTCAGGGCCGTTTTATCCAGTGGGCAAAAGGGGTAGTTGCCCAGGGTCCACTGCGCGTTGCGAGTAAATTAACAAAGAATAAAATATGAATGGTATAATAAAATAACAATAATGAACCAGTTTTTAAAAGAAATATATTTTTCCTTTTTATTTCTTAATTTTTTATTACTAATAAATTGAGTTTATCCATTTGTATGGTAATTTCTTGAAGCAAGGGTAATCAAGGGGGGGGGGGCTCAATAGTTTATACTTTGCCCGGGCCCACCAGTGCCTTAATACGGCACTGCTTAACGTAATAAAAATAGTACTTTATTTAGATTTTTAAATTCATGATTTCAGTTTATTAGTTATATAAATAACTTATCAAATTATCGTCACGTTCATACTCTTTATATTTATTGTTGCACAATTCTCTCTCTCCCTCATCAGCGAATCAAACTCAGAGTAGCTGTACTGATGAAGCGTCGCCATCTAGTTCTAAATCTTGCGCTGCAAGACAGACGGATACAAGTCCAAATTTTGGTCAATGGTCCGCTTGGTTGTTTTGACTATACGAATGTTTGATCTCCAACTCGCTTGCTGTCTGTAAAATGTTACTGACAGTCAAGGTAGATTAATAAAATTAAAAATCTTACTGTTAGTGCT